GGACCCGGAAATCAAATTAGTAAACATGATAAAAATGAAGAAATATCTAACCCAAGGGCACGAAGCCTTCCTATGCTCAGTCAAGGATCTCAACACCGAAATAACCGAACCCCAAACCATTCCAGTGGTAAACGAATACACCGATGTCTTCCCAGGCGAAATCCTCGTAGCACCCCCAACCAGAGAAGTCGAGTTCACCATAGACTTGATACCAGGCGCTGCCCCGATCTCGAAACCACCATACAGGCTGGCGCCAAAAGAAATGAAGAAACTGAAAACACAACTTCAAGAGCTACTAGATAAAGGATACATCCGTCCCAGCACCTCACCATGGGGAGCACCAGTACTATTCGTTAAAATGAAAGATGGGAGCATGCGTCTATGCATCGACTACAGGGAACTAAATCAAGTTACAATATAAAATAAATATCCTCTTCCCCGAATCGACGACTTGTTCAACCAACTTAAAGGAGCAGGGGTGTTCTCGAAAATTGATTTAAGATCCGGATACCATAAGATAAGAGTAGCCAACCCCGATATTCAGAAAACAGTCTTTCGAACACGCTACGGCCACTATGAATTCACAGTAATGCCCTTCGGACTCACCAATGCACCCGTCATATTCATGGACCTCATGAACCGAGTATTCCGGCCCCACCTAGATGACTTCGTCATCGTGTTCATCGACGACATCCTGGCCTACTCCCGAAACAAGGAGGAACATGAAAAGCACCTCCGCACAACCTTGCAAACCCTGAGAGAACACCAGCTACACGCCAAATTCTCCAAATGTGAATTCTGGAAGGACAACGTCGCCTTCCTGGGTCACGTGATAACCAAAGAAGGAATCAAGGTGAACCCAACCAAAATCCACTCTGTCAAAGAATGGCCCACACCAAAATCACTTTCGGAGGTCAGAAGCTTCCTAGGATTAACAGGCTATTACAGGAGGTTCGTACCCGATTTTACCAAGATAGCTCAACCCCTCACCAAACTCATGAAAAAGGAAACCCCCTTTCGATGGGATGACAACTGCACCGCAGCCTTTCAAGAATTGAAAGGAAAGCTGACCATAGCACCCGTCCTAGCCCTTCCCTCCGGGATGGAAGGATTCGAAGTTTTCAGCGACGCCTCCAAAAAGGGACTGGGATGCGTACTAATGCAAAAAGGCAAATTAATAGCATACGCATCCAGACAACTCAAAACCCACGAAGAAAATTACCCCACACACGACCTCGAGCTAGCTGCCATCGTGTTCGCCCTGAAAATTTGGAGACACCATGTACAACCCCTTGAGATACCACAGGGGAAGTGGGACTCCATATCCATGGATTTCGTCGGAGGATTACCCACAACACCAACAGGCAAGGATAAAATCTGGGTAATAGCGGACCGGCTAACCAAGACAGCACGGTTCATCGCTATGAAAGAAACATGGACAATGACTCAACTAGCCCGGGCCTACCTGAACCGAGTAGTAAAGTACCACGGAATCCCCCGAAACATTGTGTCTGATAGGTATCCCAGGTTCCTCTCACAGTTTTGGAAGTCTCTACAAACAGCCTTAGGGACACAGCTAAACCTGAGCACTGCCTTCCACCCCACTACTGACGGCCAAACCGAGAGAACCATTCAGACTCTCGAAGACATGCTATGAGCCTACATGTTAGACTTCCAAGAGCTATCACGACCTCATCGAATTCTCTTACAACAACAGCTATCACGCAAGTATCCGCATAGCTCCCTACGAAGCACTGTACGGTCAAAAATGTAGAACCCCCTTATGTTGGGAAGACATGGTCGGCCCAGTAGCACTAGGACCCCAATACTTACAAGACACCATAACTAAAGTCAAGCACATACAAGAAAGAATGAAGGCTGCCCAAGACCGCCAAAAATCCTACGCCGACCTGGGAAGAAAACAAACCGAGTTCGTCTCTGAAGACAAAGTCTGGTTAAGAATCTCACCCACACGAGGGGTAATGAGGTTTGGAAGAAAGGGGAAACTCAGTCCCCGGTTTATCGGCCCCTATGAAATCATAGAAAGAGTCGGGAACCTGGCCTACCGCCTCGCCCTACCCATCAAACTGGAACGGGTACACAACGTATTCCACATATCCCAACTAAAGAAATATATACACGATCCGAGCCATGTGCTACAACCCAAGGCCGTGGACCTTGACGACGCACTAACTTACGAAGAGAAACCCGTAAGGATCCTAGACACCAAGACAAGAACCACCCGCCAGCGAGCCATAGAAATGGTAAAAATCCTCTAGACCAACCATGGGACCGAAGAGGCAACATGGGAACTCAAGGACACAATGAAGGAACGCTACCCCGAACTCTTCACACAAGGTAACCAAGGCGAAAGCATAGGATAAGGGAAGAAGTCACTCAGCAAGAACCAAAGCTTCGGGGACGAAGCTTCCCGTTAAGGGGGGAGAGTAAAAAACCCCGTGTTACGGCCCCTAAACCAATTAATTATTTAAGCATTTACCCGGAAAGAAGGATCAAATCTCATTAATTAATTAAGAAAGGTCCACCATAGTCCATGGGCCTTTATCCCTAAAGCCAATCCCTTAGTCCTATAAGAAATAGAATTAGCAAACCCATGCTACTTAGACCCTAATTAGGACTCTTAGATATATATATAGGGTCATAGGGGACACCTAGAACTCACACCACAATAATCTCTCACCACACAAGAAGTTCCAAGAATTCCCTTAGGAGAAATCAAGAAAGAAGAAATCTTAAAGAAAGACCCTTCATAGCCAAGGAAATTAATTAAGGCTAAGAGGTAACCCATGTCTCAACAAAACCTATTTTCTTCGCTATAATCTCCTTCCTTAGCCTCCTTCTATATGCTTGTGTCTTGATTAATTCCTCTATGTTATTTGTGATATATTCTTGATGATTGATAAGATGATTTATGTGTATTCTTGATAATCTTGATGATCTTGATGTTGAAAAGAGGTTCTTGATATTGATGTGATGATTCTTGACATTCTTGATATTTCTTAATGTTAGAGATAAAATATGATTTTGATAATTTGGGTGGGATTAGAGCCCTAGGTTGGATTGGGAATTTGTGTTGTAATATACTTGATATATATTTGGGTGGGAATTCGCATGTTCGGGTGTTGTTTATGTTTAGGGATCATAATAGGATGAGTTCTACGTGATTCTTACTTTTGATCCATCGATTGCCTGCGTGGTGTCGTTAATTGCGTTTAAAAGTGTCTAAGCATGCTTTCGGGTTCCACAAGGGATCCCGGGACGAAATTATGATAAAAGAGTCAGTGGGGGTAGGGGAACCCGCCACCTACCCGCTGCCCGAAGACCACCGCCAGCCACCGGGCAGCCACCTGCCCGCCGGCAACCCGCTGCCCGGGCGATGATCTCCAGCGGGCAGCCGGCAGGTGATCCCCACCCACCGGCTACCCGCTAGTCCGTACCCACCCCGGGTCCTTGGCTTCCCCGTTTGATGTTCCCCATTCCCCGTGGTGTCCCAACGAACCCCGTTTGTCGTGCTCGAGTCTAGTTTGGTGTTTCGGGTACCATTCGTAGGATAAAAGAGTCTTAGGAATTGCATGCTAATTGAATCGGTAATCCCGTTGACCTAGGTGGAAGTTGTATGAACCCCTTAGGACTATTCTTAGTATCTGAATGATCACACGTAAGTTTATTTATATGTCTTCCCCTCCCAATGTGCTACTACGTGCTACTATGTGTTATGTGATGCATGATCCCCCACTTTGATTAAGATCAAATTGGGTGTTCCCGAGCTGCGGTTCGGAAGTTGGCTGAAGGCCGAATGGATTGTTCCTGAGTTGAGGTTTAGAAGTTGGCTAAAGGCCGAATTGATTCACTTCTTAGGCTGCGGTCCACATGGGCCTCGGTGCTATGACCCACCGACCTGGACGCCCAGGCGGTGTGTAGGGCCAATAAGCCGAGGAAGGCTGTAGTCCACCGACCTGAGTAATCAGGCGGTGTGTAGGGCTACGGCTGGCTGCGATCCACCGAGTGATGGGACAACGGTGTGTAGGGTCGTAGTCTCCGAGGATCTTCGCCCACCGACTGAGTCCCTCAGCGGTGTGTAGGGCTTGATCTGCTACGATCCACCGACTGTACGCATCAACGGTGTGTAGGGTCGTATGTCCCCCCCTTGTAAAGGGGATCACGGTCCACCGACTGTGCGCGTCAGCAGTGTGTAGGATTGTGGTCCGACGTTGAGTTCATTAGCGGTCCTCTATGGGTTGGTTGCGATCAACTCCCTTCATGCTGCGGTATGAGGTAGGGTGCTGTGGGGCCATGTTAATGCTATACGCATTAACCCTCATGTTCGGGGCATGCGATTGGACCTGTGGCGCCATCAATAATTATGTGATATGAATGATGTTTGGATAGTGATGTGTTTGAATTGAAAAGTGATCTGTGACCTTAGATACGTATTCCTTATGATGTTTACTGTACTTAACTGTTTATCATTGATTAATGTGCTTGTCCCTATTTGCTGAGTCTATTCCTGGTTTTAAAGCTAGAGTCTCTTAAGTATATATCTTCCTGCTTCAAAATGATTTTTGTATATCTATATATATCTATCTATATCTATCTATAATGTATTTCAACGCGTTGGAGTGGGTTACCGACATCATTCGCTGAACAGATATATTTGGCTTTCAGGCACAGATGATTAGCTCCCAGAGCGCGCTAGAAGAGCTTGGAGTAGATAGATAGTTTTCCTTTTGGCTTGCGTGCCACGATGATGTATTGAGAATAATTAGTTAGTTTAGCCTGTGCATCTGAGTCTCCAGCTCAGATGTGGCATAGCACCCCACACCCTTATGTTTAGTAAATACTTTGTTTTGGGATTTAATGAGAATTTACCTTTATTATATAAGTTTTAAAAGTTTCAAAATTTCGGGGTGTTACAGCACAAGTGGGACTAACTTCTACTCTGTTTATAATCAAATTTCTTGTGGTGGGGAGAATATTGTTCAGGGCTTTCCACAGAAAAGTTTTCCATTTGGGTGGGATCTTAAGCTTCCATAGGTCAAGCCATTTATCAAAATTGCCCAGTGTATCATTATAGTTTCCAAATACTCGTCTATAGCCGTGTTTGACAGTGTAGCTACCCCTCTGATCTCCATACCAATACCACGTATCTTCATAGCCAGATGTTATACAGGTATTTTTAAAATTCTAGTCACATCTGTGGGGCTAAAAATATATGTTAAAATATTTTGATCCCAAGATCCATTTTCCTGATCAATCAAACCCCTTACCGGCGCCTTAGCCAAATGGGGTACTCTTTCTGTCTGTATCATTGGGTCATGTTCATCTAAGAGCCACGGGTGCTCCCAAATGAGGGTTGTTTCTCCATTCCCGATTCTGCGCCTAACACCACTACACACCATGTCCTGAGCTACCATAATACTACGCCAACAGAAACTGAGGTTATTTCCTAGATTTGCATCAAAAAAAAGTTTCCCTAGGATAATACCTGGCCTTATACACTCTTGAGACCAAGGAATTAGGCTTAGTAAGGAAACGTCATGCTTGCTTGCCTAACGTTGCTAGGTTAAAAGCGCGTAGCTCCTTAAACCCTAAGCCCTCATGCTTCTTTGGCACACACAATTTATCCCAGGCTCTCAAGTGAATGCCACTATCATTCCCAGATCCCCACCAGTACCGATTCATGGCTCGTTCAATAGCCGTGCAAGTTCCCACATGCAATAAAAATACACTCATTGAAAAAGTAGGCATAGCCTGAGCCACACTTTTCAATAAAACTTCCTTACCAGCCTGTGATAATAGTTTTTTATTCCATGAACCAATTCTTTGATTGATCTTATCCTCAATATATGAAAAGGATGCTTTTCTATTTCTTCCTATAAAAGATGGTAGGCCCAAGTATTTACCAAAATTAGGAGCCTGGACCACTCCCAAAATCTGTGCCACATCATCCATGTCCTCTCCTCGTGTATTCTTACTGTAAAATATACTAGACTTATGGAAATTCACCACTTGTCCAGACAACTTCTCATACCGTGTCAAGCATTGCTTAATTACTCCCGCCTCCTGAGTATTTGCTTTAAAAAATAATAAACTGTCATCAGCAAAAAAACAGATGAGAAATAGGTGGCGCCCCCCTTGCTACCCTACAACCATGTATTGTCTACGAGCCTGTTCTTGTTGTAGTAATAGAGAAAGTCCTTCAGCACAAATAATAAAGAGATACGGGGAGAGAGGATCTCCTTGCCTTAAACCGCGTGTCGGGGTAATAGGTAAACTGCGAGAACCATCCAACAAAATATTATATGATACAGTAGTAACACATAACATAATGAGATTCACCCATCTATAATCAAACCCCAGAGATAACAACATATTATGTAGAAAAAGACCACTCCATCCGGTCATAAGCCTTTGCCATATCTAATTTTAAAGCTCCCCACCCAACTATACCACACTGCTTTCTATTCAAAAATGACCAACTTCCACAGCTATCAAAATATTATCAGTTATCAATCTGTCAGATATAAAAACGCTCTGCGTATCAGATATAATATTTTCCATCAAAGGCTTCATCCTGGCTGTAATCATTTTGGCCATTATCCTATAAATCACATTACTCAATGCTATAGGCCTAAGATTAGTGACCATCTCAGGGGTCTTTTTCTTGGGGATTAAAACAATATCTGTATCATTCAATTTAGCCGGGAAAGAACGAGTATTAAGGCAATTCACAATAAAATTCGACACATCTCCTCCCACCACATCCCAAAAAAACTGATAAAAGCCCGGATTCATTCCATCCGGTCCTGGTGCTTTATCCGGGAACATGCCAGATAACGCCATTTTCACCTCTGCAACCTCAAACGGGCACAGCAACTCATCATTCTGCGTCTGTGTCACTCGGGGCAAAACATTCCCAAAAAAATCCCCATCATTCCCAGACTAGCTAGAGCTAAAAATATTACGATAATAATCCAGAATAACAGTTCTCATAGCCTCCCCTTCCACCCAATCCCCTTCATTATTCATAATTTTAGAAATAGTATTCTTCTTTTTACGATGAGAAGCATACCTGTGAAAGAATTTGGTGTTTGCATCTGCGTCCTTGAGCCAATGTTGCTTGGCTCTCTATCTCCAGTATGTATCCTCTTGGGCCTCAATACGAGTTAGGCACTCTTCCAATCGCTGGTACTCAACTAAAGATGCCTGATCTATGCATCCTCGCAATCGTAATTGTTCCTTCTGGAGATTCATAGCTTGCTCACCAAACTTATGGAAACGGTCGCCTCCTCATCATTTTAAGTTACTTCCACATAAATCAATACATTCCTTCAACCCCCTATGCCTCTCCTAGTCCCATGTTTTTTCCACCACGCCCATGCATCCCTCATTATGAAGCCAAGCCATCTCAAAGCAAAACCCTCTTTTCCGTCCACCCCTCCTTCCCCGAGGATTCAGAATCCCAAGGAAAAGAGCAGAGTGATCAGACTTTCGGGTTAAAATGTTCAAAACACTTGCTTCTCTTACCATATCATGCCACCTCTGAGTAACTAACACCTTATCCAACCTCTCTTCAATCCAGTTTGCCGTTCCCGGTCCTCTTTCCCATGTATACGGATAACCCATCATTGGCAATTGAAATAATCCACAATCATCAATCGTTTCCCCAAAACCACGCACCAGTGCATATGGGTGTGGGTTCCCTCCCCGTTTCTCATGCTGAAAAATAAGATCATTAAAATCACCTATGAGAACCCAGGGAAGGTCAGGCTTGTGAGATAAGGATTTGATGAGATCCCACGAGTCATTCCGTCTTGTCCGCTGAGGAAAACCATAATATCCTGTCATTCTCCACTTATCAAAACCAGGAATACTTACCTCCACATCTACATGATTGTTTGAGTAACTCAACAACCGAGCCATATTATTTGTTTTCCATAATAACGCTAATCCGCCACCTAGTCCAGTACTGTCAACGTAAAAAAGACCATCAAAACCAAGTTTGATCCAGAGCCGTTCTGCGTGATCCCGACCAACCTTGGTTTCCACTAAAAATACAAAATCGGGTTTCTTACGGGACACCATGTCCACAACTTCTCGTACTGTTCATGGATTACCCAAGCCACGACAGTTCCAGCTTAGGGTACTCATGATGATGGGCGGGCCTGGGAACCAGTACCCGCCATAAACAAGTTTTTTGACAAATCAACCAGAGTAACATCATCATTCGTTTCCTCATGGCGCCGTTTAGCGACCGCCTCCACCACTGTCCCGGCCTCACGGTGTTCCTCCCGCGCACCCCGCACCACATGCGGCAGACAACTAGTACCACTCGGTCCAACACCGGTCTCCACCACACCTCCCTCTACCGGCACGAGCCAGCCCTCCCCCACCGCCCTCGGACCACGGCGTGAACCCGCCCTTATCTCCGCCGAGAAAGGATATTCCTCAACCGGGATAGTTGCATTCTTGGCATGTATACAGAACTTGTAGAGATGCCCGAGCAGTCAACAATAAAAGCAGAAATTATGGAGACGCTCATATTTAAACGATACCCAGCATGTTGACTTATCTCTCTTAACAAACTTCATATGCCTTTTAATCAATTTTTCAATAGGAATAGCCACACGAATACGATAGAATTCTCGCCACGGATCATTCACAAAACGGTCATCCCCTTTAACAAAAGTACCAAGGTAATTACCAACCTGCTCAAGAAATTTATCTGATGTATGCCCCATTGGTAATCCATGCACCTGCACCCACATATCCACCGTATCCAAAACCACATCCTCCAGGAGGACACCATCCACAACTTGGCGACAGACTAGGGTTGCATTATCATAGGCCTAAGGGCCATCATCCAGTACACGCTCCATGTCTATTTTATGAAAAAAGATGAATAGGAACAAACGTGGTTGAATTTCCATTACCTGAACACCCTGTATAGGTTGCCATACGGATGCCAGGACCTCACGCATGAATTCCACCTTGATAAGTTTTCGCGTCAAGAAGCGGCCTACCAAGGACCAGACCGGCTTTCCGGCCACCGTCGCGGTCTCCTCCTCATCCAACACCGGCGAGAACCCTGCTTCCTCCTCCTCCAATACCATATCGACCCAGCTTTTCATTACTGCCTCCACCATCGCTTGACTCGACGACGACGCCATCAACACTTCGCGGCCAGACGCTACCGCTTCCTCCGGCACAACAGCACGTAATCGCAATAGTAAGACCGGACAAGATTGATGTAGAGATCACAAGAAAGTCGATGAAAACCCTAGGAGAAACCTAGTAGATGAAAGAAAACCCTAGAATTCTAGAGAGAGAATTTTTACCACAACGAATACTTAAAAACATGAACATAAATCTATATTACTATATTATTTCTTGTAAAATATTAATTATTTTAATGATGTTAATTATTATTATTATTTCTATTAAAATAAATTTATAAATTAAAATTTATAATAGTTATGAAGAATAATAATTATAATTATAATTATTATAATAAAAGATGTGAATAAATAATTTTTTACTTGAAACTTATTGTAATAAAAATTAGCAACACTTTTTCTTATCTTCTCTCGTTTAGTTTATCTCTTTTATTTCTTCACAATACAAATTAAATATTTTTAGTCTACTTTTTATAAATCATTTAATTAACAAATTAAATACTCTTTTAGTCTACTTTTTATGAATCATTTACTTAATGTAGCATACAAGTTTATATTATACTTCATTGTATTCAAATTAATTTAGAAAAATCGATCTAACTAAAACAAATTAAAATTAAAATGTATTTATGAATATAGTGTTATTCAAATTATTTTATCTAATTGATTATGTTTCATATTTTGTCATAAATATTTTCACAATTTCACCTCACTCAGGTATATTTTTTGCTTCGACCCTAAGTATCATGTAATGTATCAAAAACATTCTATTGTAATTTATAATGTATTTTGTACTTTAACATTATCATGGTTGTTTGATATTTTGTCATTGACATTTCTAACGTCATTTAATATTGGAAAAGGTACAAATATGCTATTGAACTAATTGGGAGATATCAATTAAGCCACCGAACTTGAATAATCTCCAAATTCATCCATGAACCTGGAGAAAAAGAGCATTTAGAATTTTTAGCAGGTTAACAACAGTTTATGCTGATTGGGATGCAGTGCGTATTTATATATTTTTTCTTATTATCCTACTTGGACTACATGTAAACATTTGACCATTTGAAGTCAAAATTTAAATCCCTAATTTTCTCTCTCCTATATTTTCTTCTCTGGTACGTTCTTCATTCGCGTCTGCAACTTTCTCTCCATTCTAACAATCTCTTTGGCTCATATTCGAACAAAAAAAAAAAAAAAATCAACCACTTAGCGTACTAAGTTTATACATTTTATATTGAATGCAATTGTTAAAGTAAATATTGCGTAACGAAAAAACTAAATTAATTCAAGAATTATTTCGAAATACTAAATTATTATATTTTTTTATATACGAGATTAAAATAAATAATAATAATAAAAAAAAAAAGAGTTTAGTGCATCTGACCGAGCACCTACTTACCAGAGCCTTGTAGCATTCTTTAATTGAGTTAAGAAACATGAAAAATTCTTTGCTTCCCCTAATATCCAACAACCCCATAAACGAGTCAACATCATAAATTG